TGTTATAGGTACAAAGCTTTATTCGTTTCCGAATGAAAAATACCGTGGAAGGAAAGAGAAATGTCTGGCTGCAATTCGGCGGATTGAGTAAGTATTATGCTTGGGTATTTTCATTGAAGGTATTTTTTTAAAGTTGTGTATGTATTAGTGTTGCAACGAATAGTATATTCGGCTTGATTAACGCACGTACGAAAATTGGCGCGCAAACCGCATTATGGCAAGGACCCTGATCTCTATTGGCCCGCTGTCACTACGCTTCGCCAATCGCGTTAATTCTTGACAGTTGTAGTGGACAGACAAGAGCGTCATGGCAGTATGCGATAAATGATGATAGCAAATGTGGATAACAATGAAATGACCTACACGTGTAAATAACGGAAAAAGAACAGAGAAAGACAGCGAAGTGAAAATGTGAAAATAAATACGAAATTGAGTTGATAACATAATCGAACGAGTCGAAGCAGCTTATTGGCGCGAAATTCGCGGCCGTTAATGCCAAACAATTGTTTCATAGACTTCGGAAAGCAAAATGCTTGTAATGAAAGTCACTTAGCGTGCACGGGAGAAAGCCTGGGACCGTTCGGGCTACCAAGCTGTCTCGAATCTGTGAAATCATAACTGTGACATATACCGACGTCCTATCTGTCTCTTTTCTCCGTTATCACCAGGCTATGAGTCACGTAATTATAAAATGAAAAAACTACGACAGAAAAGTGACGAATCGAAAGTATCGTGAGCGCGTATTATGATATATGCATAGGCATACGTGGACTAGAGAGATGGAGGAAAGAGAAAGGAAAGAGCAAAGACGAGCGCTTAAAAAGGATAGGCAGGGTCAGACCCTCACATGTGTGCGACGAATCTCGAACGAATAGACGTGTGTGAAAATCTGACTCTCTTATTAGTTGGAATTCTCTCTTAGAGAGTTCTAATTGATAGAGATATAGAATTCTTCTTTCATCATTATCTCAATATAATTCTTCTTTCATCATTATTTTCGTTATTTCTCCCGTTCTCACCCCGTTACCCGAGGAATAGACCCCGGATAATGAACTGCGTAATTCGTCCGTCAAGAAAGTCATCCCTAGGACAAAGTCGTCCGAGGCGACCGCGGAAGAACTTCCCTCTCCCCGGGGCATTTGTTTGTTTTTGCTAATTGGTCACACCGCAGACACCTTGTAAAAGAGTAGTCTCCTGCGAGTGTCCGGTTGACGGAGACAGATGGGTGTTCCTGTATTGAAAGTAGACAAGAGGTCACCTACAAGGGTCACCCGTACGGTGAGAACATTACCAAAAATGGTCAGTCATCTCCCCAGGTGATGACGAATTTAACATGAATTGGTCAAGCGATGTCTGCATTGTCGTCACCCATGACGGGGGAGACTGTCATAAATCGGGAGAAGTGACAGATTGAGTCAGAGCAGTCCCCGAGATTTCCCACGCTAAAAAAGTATAAAAGGGGAATGATCGGAGGTCTCGAGGCGATCATCGGAGAAAGAAGACTACAAGCGTCTACTCTGGAAGGACTTCAAGGTTTCTGATCGCCGACCTAAAGAGGTAAATACTTAGATTGTTTTTACTTCACTCTCTCTCGGTATACTCGGGCCTTAGAAGTTATTGTCTCTCGGTATACTCGGGACTTAGAAAATATTGTCGCTCGACTTACTCGGGACTTAGAAAATTGTCGTTTACCGATATACTCGGGACTTAGAATTTATTTATCTGTTCCTTTGATAGGACTTAGTCATATTTTGTGTCGAGGACCTTGGACGGTCCCACATACGGGATAGACGGACATCGGTTGTCCGATATTGTCGCGACTCGGAATTTATTATAATTATCGCTTACATTTTGTTTAGAATTAATATGTAATTTTAATGTATTTGTATTATTTTTAAGTTTATATTAAATGTTATTCCTAATTTAATGACTCTTGTTAAGTACTATCGACATCTCATCACGACTTCATTACGCCTCCCACTCCTTTTGCCCTCCTATAGCCATTTCCTGACAGCCAAGCCGGTAAGTGGGGAGAAGCTCTCCGCTTCAGCCCCCTCGGTTAGCACACGTGTACGTGTGCTGATCTTTGTAATTATAAATTGTGAATACATGTGACTAATATTATTGTTTTTTTTTTATTATTTTGTGCATGTTATAAGTTATAAATAAATATAAACAAACAACACTAACCCGACAACATTAAATCTAAATACCAAAATGATTAATTTATTGTGTTTTTGTTATTTCTTACTAATTAGTCTGGAAACAAGGGGACCCAATTCTTGCATTCTGTGACTGAAACGTAATAATCTTAATCTTACTTTTGCCCGAGCAACGCCGGGCCTACCTGCTAGTATAAATATAACTGTGACATTTAAAAGCATTGTAATGTAATGAACTCTGTAAATGGCTAGGGTGCCTTTTTTAGCGGTAAATAGGTGTAGTCCACTTTATATTACTACCCATTGTTTACGTAGTGCATTGAGTAATAACTCATTAAAAATACCAAAACATTTCGTATTTCTGTAAATCTAAAATTCTGATAATAAATAACAAAATTTAAAAAATGCTTAATGATGTCATTATTAGTCAGGGACAGTATTAAAGATCATTTCAAGTAATTCATTAGTCAAAAAGTGACCAAAGTTGCTCGATAATTGTAATGTAATGTAATACGTAAAATTAAAAACACTTTTTTCAGAAAAGATGGCAAACTTGGCAACCCACAAAGTATAACAAAGTTTGCTGTCAGCATTTTGTAGGGGACTGAAAATTGACCACCCTGACCATCCAGCATACGTTCCCACACTTTTTCCAACATGCTACAAGAAACAGGGTTGTGGAAATGCTGATAGGTTTTTAAGGCAGGCAGGAAGGAAAGAAGCATGGATAACAGCATGGATGTGGACACCGAAACCATACCTGTGTCACCAAACATGACACTGGAACACAAACTGATGTAGGGGAACCACTTTATATGGCAGTCTTATTTTGTGAAAAGTTATGTAACGATGTAGGTACCCAAACTAATATTTATTGTAAAAAGCAGTTTCTCTCCTTTCTTTAAATTAATTTTTCTCGGGGTTTCGGTAGATATTGCTTCAAAACCACACTGCCTTCTAAGAAATATTATTCGTACGATATGAAAAGGAGAAGCACATGCCACATTTGTAACCCTGATTTTGTTTCCCCGCGTCGCCGGGAAACAAAATCAGGGTTACAAATCTAGGCGCCTCGATCTAGTTTCGCCGTTCCTTCCACTAGCTCTATAAAGATGCATCGAGTTTTTAAGAACAGTATTAAGATCTCGCAATCATCCAGACTTTAACACCCATATATTGGGCAAGAACAGACCTCTCATCTAGACAGCACGTGCAGGCCCTCGAACGTTACGTAGCACGCACACATCGATTTGACTAATTGCGGACAAGAGTTCATCGGAGAAAAAGTGACCAGCCAGAATCTCCATATCAGAGAAGGAAAGAAAGAAAGAACAGTATTAAGAATTTGCCTCTTTTAAAGTTTCGTTTACAAGTTGTTTTGCTTAAATCGTTAGCATGCTAATATTTTTGTTGCTTGTACATCATACAAAATTTATGATATTTTAATGAATTTATTGAGAAAATGTATTTTGCCAAAGCCTCTGACTTTTTGTTTAGAAAATCATTAACCAATACTGTTTTAATAGTAAAAAAAAAAGAAAAAAACAACAATTATTCTAGAGGAAGGTGAAAATGAGTACATTTCTAAAGTAATGTACACTTTCGAATAAATGAGAAAAAACTAGCACGATTAATTTTTAATAATTATTTTATTTAGAAAATATAAATTAATCGTGCTATTTTAGATTATATTAAACCTAAGTTTTTTTTTTTTTTTTTGTCATTTATTCGAATGTGTGAACCTACAATTTTGAAAACGGGCTCAACATTTCTTTTTCTGAATTTACTTATATCTACAAACATCTTCATTTATATTTAGAAGTCAAGTCAAAATGTATATCAGTTTGTATACATTTTGTATTGAATGTATACTCGGCCTGCTTTCCGCCTGAATCCTATCTACAGCACTTCTAGTGAGCAAAAGTGGCTCTCCCAACCATATTATTTAGTAACCTTGCTACTCGGTATGTATGGATGCGCCCTTACGTCTGTTCGTTGATATCAATGCTCTTGATAAAAGATTAATAAAAAATTGTGCCCCTTATTAGAGCTTTAAAACAATCACCATGCCATATATTAAAGAGAAATTATATACTGTATATTCATTGAATAAATGATGAATTAAAACGGATTGATGGAATAAGGCAAAGACATGGCCACTCTGTCAGCGTCATGCTTTCCGGGAGGACTTTCATCAAGAATCTGGCAACTATTTAGATATTTTTTGAACTCTTTTCGCTCTTTGATCACAGATGGCCTTTATTTAGCGAGTTCATTACTGGTTCAGTCGGCTGGGTGGAAGTGTAGGATCACATATCCGGACGATCCTGCCCCAAAACATTCGTAGGATTTTTCTAACCGTCTGGATTCGATTCTGGTCTCCTAGAATGGCCTTCCAGCCGTCGCTATTTAGATGTTAGACATGTGGAAAAACACGGAAACGCTGTACGGCTAACTCGTTGGTAAGTCGTTCACTCAGAATCAAATACAATTGGTTGATGGTTTTATCCACCAGCCATTAGTGGGTGAATAAGTTATAAAATTCGAAAATTATTAATGAATAATTTCGTTCGGAAATGTTATACCCATTCTATCACTATCCTAATGTAGGTTTGGCAGAACCTATGATGGGCTTATAAAAATTTTTCTTAATCCTCCAATGCAAAAAGAATAATTACTATTTAGACAAACGAATAATATAGAGCAAGATATACGGATGAACTTCTTTAATTCAAAACTTGGTTAATCCAAGTTAGAATGCAAATCTTGGTTAATCGGGAATGCAAAATAATTCGAATTTTGTATAATTTGAATTATTTTGCATTTTCGTTAAACTTCGAATAACCAAGTTTCGCTGTATAAAGAATTTCATCAATAGGCATAACTGAAACCACAATGTCAATAAATTTTATCGGAGTATCGGTTTTAGTTATGATTATCGATAAAATATTTAATTTTATTTAATTTAGATATTTTGATTTAAGAATTTGTGACTGTGCGGGATTCCAAACAAAACGTTCAAGAAATTCAAATCCATTCTGGGACAAATGTAAGTTTAATGAAGTACAGTAGAACCTCGATTATCCGGACTAATTGGGGATGAAGGTAGTCCGGATAAGGAAAAATCCGGATAATCGAAACAAATACTTTAATTTGTCTTTTAATGATAATACAACACGTTTTCTTTTCGATGACATATCGGTAATATTAAAAGTAAATACTGTATTTAAATCGTGATCAAATTTTCAAGAAACAAACGTTCGTATTGAATTTGGACTACTACTGACCAACGCTAACAGACTACCTATTGTTTAAAAGGCCCTCTGGTGGCGCAAGAAGACGGATTTTATAAAATAAAAAGCAGTTGAAACTGCATTTTTATGAATAAAAATTTGACAAACTATTTATCGTTTTATGACGAGTAAAATTTTTTCGTCGCGTTCGCGGCTTTTAAGTAATGCATAAACCTTCGAGGCGCGAGGCCCTTCGGACCGCGAGGCATAGGCGGTGGCCCACGTCGTCCATGCCTTACGCCGCCCTTGGTCATAGAAATGATGTAATTTGAATATAAATTATTTATAAATACGTATGTCAAGTTATATTTTTATTACTACGTAAAATATATTTAAGAGTTTACGACCACTGTGATGGGTGAGACGTTGTTGAAACAAAAAAAGTTATGCATTCCGTCACGTACATAAACAGTGTCGTAATTCGCCAAGTGCAAATCAGCAAATTCGTAAAATTTTTGTTTATTTTGAACAATCCGGATAATCGAAAATCCGGATAATAGAGGTCCGGATAATGGAGGTTCTACTGTATGTATTTGTAATATTGAAATACGATTGCTAGGTGTTTAGATTTTTTTTATTTTCGTCCTGTGTGCACTAAGAGAACCTTGTTTCAAACCCATTGTGGATTCGACCAGTTCCACAATAGGATGGCCGTGTGGTGAAGGATAGAATAAGTTTGATAAGAATAGATTTATAAGGCATATTTGTATATGATAATAAATTTTTGTAATTTAAGAAATTATGTGAAGAAATATTCAGTTATATAAACTTTAAATTTTTAAAATTAAATCAATTAATAAATTACAAATTTCTATTTAAGTGACAGATTGAAGAAAATAAGAAAACGTTGTTTAAAATAAGAGAATTATCTGTGTATATAGACGACCGTTGCAAATATATGGGAAACAGGTTTGTATATTAAAAGAGAGCTTTTTCAAATTAAGAACATTTCTATTAGCTAAGGAAATGATAATCGATGCTTTTTTACGCTATTATTAGCACTTAAATAGGAGATCGAGGTAGATGTCTGGAAGCAGTTTACAAAACGCTTCTAATTTCAGCTAATCACAAATGGTTTGCCGTTTTCTGCGTTACAAACACCCTTGCGCATTATATATAGATTCAGAGAGATTTAGACTATATCTATTTGCTGTTATTAGTCGAAGTTTGGAAGTGTGGGCTTTTCGTTTGCGTTGTGGTGAAATGAGTTAGAAAGGTAACGTAACGAATTCCAAGTGTCAAAGCTAAGAGATTATATCTTTATACGATAGTGCATCGACTTCATAGGAGACAAAAGAAATACAATGTTTGACGAAATCAAAATATTATTACAGATGTTTGAAAATGGTGTGAAGGCAATAAACATCGTAACAAACGTAGGAATACATAAATTCGCCGTGTAAAAGACATTCGAGCATATGAAAAACAAGGTGTTCTAGTAAATGACATACTAAAAGAGAGCTATAACAGCAAAAGATAATGAAAAGCGCAAAAATTGGAAACAATATATGCATCATTGGAGAATTGGAGCAAACTGTACAAAGAAATAGTTTAACCCAACAGAAGTTACGTGACTGTGGCGATGTGCACAGAGTATCGTCAATATACGAAGCACTGAAACGTAAAGACATAACTGGGAAACGTTTGAAACGAATATGTGGACAATTGTTCGACCAACCTCTTGTGAGTGAACGCAAAGTATATGCACGACAGATTACATATATCTAACAAGCAAAATCTAATCAGCAAATAACACATAGACAATTGATATTTGCTGATGAAACAGATCCTAACAACTTTTCTCATAAACACTATGGATATTCACTAAAAGTGATGACTGCTACTATTTTCCAACCCTCTCAAAAGATAGGATATAAGTATAATAGCCATTCTCAGTGTTAATGGTTTAAGCGCGTTTTAACGTATCAAAGACGCCATCAATGCAAAGCTATTTTGAAGTTTCATCGAATGTAATATAATAATAAAAGATAATATCATTGATTCCGTTTTATTGTGGATAACGTTTGTTTCCATCAAAGTGCCACAGTGACTGACTATCTTAGAGAATGACAGCTACAGTTAAAATATCTGCCTCCGTTTTCACCTCATGCAAATCCCATAGAGAAAGTTTTAAAACAGCACTTCAACTTTTGACCACGTCCCAGGAACACTAACGTTCTAACTTCCTGCGTAGAGCCAATAATTAGTATCATGAATAAATTTTCTTGCAATATGTTCCATTATAACTCCTAATCTCGAAATCACTGGCTGCATTGACGGCAAAGTCTGCTTTAATTAATAACGAAATTTTCTAGTCTTGCAACGTCGATTTTAGTTTTTGCAGTGCTTTCTCTTAGTAACTTCACGCTTTCTCTTAGTTTTGAATTTTTTTTCTCATTTCACTAAACTTGTTCCCCTAATTTAAAATATTTACTATATTTCTTGATGAGTTCTTATTTTCTACAGTTCGTCGCTTAGAGATAAAAAGTGTAAGATGTTTAAATTTCATTGCATTCACTAGATTACTTGCAGAAAAAATTTTTCGGTTAAAATATTCTGTTTTATCTAATTAATTATTCATATTTAATTTTATAGTAAACCTTTAAATATGCATAGAAACGAAAGAAATAACTTGTTCAAGTACAAACCGTATAGAAACATACCAGACAGTAAGTGGTCATTCTATAAGAAAAAAAATAAGGAAAAACAATGGAAAGATAGAAGAGTGAGTGTCATGGAATACCAAAATAACGAAAGAAAGAATGAAATTTTGAATCCTCAATTTTATCAAAAAAGTACATTTAATATTACTGAATCGAAGAAAAGATGTAAGAAACAAGATAAATATACAAGCGCCTGGAAAAAGGAAAGAAGCTATTCCCAAAGAAAAAGTGATGAGGTTAAAGATTATGAGATCAAAGATAATTGTGAAGCTTGTGGAATTCTCGGATTTACAAACGTACAAGCATCAAAGGAACATTTTAATACTTCGGGTCACATCAGGAATATGTTTAAAACTGTTATACTGTGAAACACTTTTAACAATCACTACATTTTGAACATTCCTATTACCTAAAGATATAATACAATAAAATGTTAAGTTTCAAACTAATTAAAAACATTGAAGATGGGATGTTTCAAATATGTAATTAAAAATAAAATAAAGTTTTGAATATTTTAATTGAAAATTTCACTTTGTAATGTGATAAAATCGATTATTTAGGAAACAATTTTAGTATCCAACATTGGCTTTGTGTGACGGAAAATATGACTATTCAGTTAATGGATGCTATTTATTGCTGTATGTTAAATTAAAATAAGAATCAACTTATACTATTATGGTTATAAAAGCAATATCCAGAGATTAATCCAAGGTTTTATTCTGAATTTAAGGCAGTAAATTTAAAAAATAAATTTTTTTAGCTGTTTCTGCCCTGTGAGCTCCAAGAGGATCACCAGTTAGCGAGAAACGGATCACTCCTGAAAAATCCATTAAGAAACGCAAAAATCCGATTATATTCATACAAATAGAAATATCACTTTATTGTTTAATATAATATTGTTTTATAAAAACAATTATAATTGAATTTTAGACATTCCATCTGAAAATAATGTCAACTTTGACACGTGACTTTATTGTGTATTAAAAGAATAAATTATGAAGATGTTCTTTTATTTCATATTATTTTAATTTTTTTAAATGTTTCTTCTACCGTAAAGAAATTTTTTAATAATAAAACATTTTTCTAGTAAAAAAAAGAATTAAAATAATCAAATCCAAGCTTCGATACTACTTCGAACCCAACTGATTATTAAATTGAGTCTATTAAACCAATTGTGTTAGATTAAATTTCTTCTTGCAACTCTTCTAGAACTTAGTTTTTCTTATTTCTTTCTTGCAGGAAATTTAATTAGAGTTAACAGATCCAATTAGTGTAAATCTTATTAACGTGAACGAAGTATTAAGTTTGTTCGTAAATGAGAAGTTTATTAGAATTATTATTATTCTGTCCTTAATCTCAATAGTCACATATATATTTTATATAAAATACTATAAAAATATTAAATGATTATTTAGAATCTCAAGATATCTGTGATATGAACATTATAATTTATTTGATTAAAAATTAATCCTAAATATTTAATTACATTATCAATATTCAATATATAGGAAAATTAATTATTTTAAACAACAGTCATGCAAATACTTTATGAAAGTAATTAACTAAATAATTAATATTAAAACTATAGAAATAAGCCAAATTTAGTTTTTAATTTTTATCTCATCCTGAGATATTAAAGGAAATAGCTTAAACGCCAACACACATACATACGTATTTCGTGTATGTTTTTTGGCTTTTTTGGGTTTAGAGTTGTCAAAACATCACAATTCTAAATATATGATACGATTACAATATTACAACAGTCGTGAATGTAACCCAAGTTACGTTAAAAAAGTCAGGAATATAAAAAGAAAGTGAAAATTTGAGATGATTACAATACTTTCCCGTGTTATGCTATAGCAGCCGGGAAAGCAAAAGTGAAGAGAATAGAATACCATTTATCCCCTTAGTGATCTTCTTACCTCTGATATGGGAGCATAATTCAGCGATCCAAGGGTGCTCTTTAAAGCGACTGTACACTAAAAAAAAGGCAACAATGTTTTGACTCCTTTCCTCTTCTTAAATTGCATACGTAATTAATGAAAGGTCCCATTACATCCCAAACTTGCTTCTTCAAAGTTTCAAAAATATTTGTTAGAATTACCGAAGATGTTTTGAGCTGTTTTACTTTTCAGGTTATTATAAATAACAGGGAAAGTATGGCGATCGATCAAAAAATGACCCGTACACACAGCTGGCCATTAATTTGCCACACCATGAAGGCTGCATACAACAAACACGAAATTTGCATGAAAGATACGACATTCTGGGTGCTCTATACCTCAAGATTACCCATCAATTTGATTATGTCTTCTTTTTATTATATTGTATGTGTAAAACAAATATAATTATGTTATTTGCTTTCCTTCTTGGTGTAGCAATTTTAATGACCAGAAGTGTACATTTTCGATGATGGGTTATTGATGATCGTGCGTGAGTGTATGACACGATTTTGATCATCCACTCTGAAGATTAATGGTCCACTTTTGATACTTTTTGTCGAAAATTTCTGAAATTTCGCAGACTGTGTCAATACACAAAATTTAATCTCCCCACTCATTTGATCTTTAACGACCAAAATTTAATAGCATCAATCCCCATTGGGGATTGATGCTATTAAATTTTGGTCGTTAAAGATCAAATGAATGGGGAGATAGAGGGAGTCGTGTGTTATAACTATGGTCGGACTTAATGACTTTACTCTTATTAGCATTTACAATTTTTATAAAACTCATCTCTACTCTCAAAATTAAGCTTTTGCCATTTTATAATAATTAATATTGCAAAAATTTTTAAAAATAAAATTTTATAACAGCGCACACACAATTTTAAAGTTTAGCCGGGAAAGTTATGAAATTCATTGCTTGATTTTCTTAGGTTTCCTTCATATGGCCATTGGTGGATACCCATATACTATACTGAATATATTACAATTGGTTTGAAATAATCTGCTTATGTTTGAAAGAAACTTTCAGTTTTGTCTTCTGAATGATTCTTAAATTCAAGATCGATAAGACGAATAAAAAATTCAGCAACGAGTAACTTTCTTGGTTGTTATAAGATTTTATTTAAAAAATAATTTTTATATTATTAAGCAAAGTAAAGAAAATTGTACGTGGCGTGTTGTAAGATTTTGTTATAAAAACGTTTTATATTTTTAAATGTTATAAAATGACAAAAAGCTTATGAGCTTTTTGTCATTTCATAAAATGCTTTTGAGCTATTTTCTTAAAAGCTTTTGAGGAT